GACGAATGCAAAAATTGCCGTTTTTAAAGAAGTCGGTTCACTTTATTCATAAAATGGCCCTGTAAGTATACAAATTAATTGATCAACACTTGATTTTCTATTTGAAGCATTAAAATAAAATAGAGACTCAGTACTTTCATATCCTATTAAAAAATTTCTCCTCAAAGTCCAGGTCTTGGAGAACTGGCTTTATGAAATAGCAATGTTCTTGAATTTTTAGGTAAACAGGTATAATTGAGCACTTTCAGTGAAGAAAAATAATGTGAGCGCACTCTCTGATCTAAAATATAAAACATGTCCATTAATCCTCAGAAACAGTTCTATCATTTACTAGTTGCATATTTTAGATCAGATGTTGCGCTCTATATTAAATATCAAAAAATAGCTATAAAAATTGGCCGTTTTTGTAGACTTTTTCAGAATTTGAGGAAATTGACGCATTTTGTGACGTCATAATGCATTGATTAGCCAGCAAATGACGTCATTTTTCATAGTTACGCAGTCACCAAAGATCTGAGTGATATTTCATGCATTGTTAACTAAAACTATGCAGTTTCAGTTTTTCAGAAATTCACAGGGTCAAATAAAGCAAAAGTGAACCTTGTTCTTTAAAAGGAGGTCGTAACTCTTCATATAATGTTATAACATCGATATTTTCTACAAATAGAACTTCGTTTGCACCTATTAATCGGCGGAAGAACTCTGTCATCATGCAATAAACACTTAAATTTAATCACCAAAAATGATAAAAACACTAATTCAAACAATGAACCCTCGCTTCGAATTTTCAAATCAAAAAGGCGGTGGCAACTTTCACTTTGTCATCAACATCATTGCTATTTCCGGTAGAGGATATAAAGAAAAAACAAAAGATCGGCGGTAGAACTTTATCCGAAATAGTTAGTATATATAAATTACCAATTTTTTGCACGTTCTCTTTATAAACCTTTATAGAATCTGCCGCCATTATAGCTCCAATATGGCGAATATGTAAATGAGCAGAATGAACATCATTTCTCCATGCGATAATCAGAAGAAACTATTTAATCTTTTCACATCCCAATTTTTCTAAGAAATTTTCATTAAAACACTTACATTGTATTTGTACGCAAATGCTAGTAATTCAATTTTAAAAAATGGTCCTCAGACATGTATGAAATTACTTAGCAATGCAGACTGAGGCACCGCCTGTGAATGAAATACATCTTGAACTAAAATATTATTTTACAATTAACATTTAGGATAATATTCATTCAGAGGAATAATTGAACAGAAAAAGAGAAATTGAAATTATTTTTTGCACTTGCACTATCAAATATTCCTTACATTCGATGTGCTGCCTACTAATACAATAATGCCAGGTTTTTGGTGGATGCCTCTTAAAAAAAAAGATTATGACGTATATGTTGCACAAGGTGACGTCATAATAGGGTAGAGAAATGTACGCTTGAGGTAATGAAACATTGAGAATTAAAAAAAATTCCCTTTTTATACCGTAATAACAGTCAGCATAATAATGAATATATTGTTTTACGTTGCATGTACTATGCCTTAATAGTAGTCAGGGTTTGAGGCATAGTGCACTCGCATCCGGCTCATGCACCATGTGTCAATCCCTGACTACTAATTAGGCATAGTGCATGCAAGGTACATAACTATTATAGAAATGTCATCATGCATACATGTATGAGCATATAGTGAAATAATTTCAAATCTTCAATTGAAATACTGTATATAGTATAGTATAGGAACAATCCACAACATACCTCCTTCGAATGGTGAATGACTCCGTATTTACATGTATGATAAGTTTCGAAAGTAAAATGGTAATAGAAAAGAATTCAATCCACTTTCTTCACTAATTAATATTAAAAATTCCAGTTAAATGTGTAGTTTTGCATTACATTTCAATCTTTGATGACTGCGGCGCTCAAGGTAAATATTACACGCCTCTTAACCGCCAGATTCGCGACTGGAAGATTCTTTTAATCTATGATTGGTTGTTAGTGCAACAGACTCTTTCTGTGTCAATGTTGAACTTAAGAATAATTGAAGAATAATTGAAGAAGCAGTAGATATCTGTTAAACTGAATCAGCACAGAGCGGGTGTCAGGTCGGCAGGGGATGTTTACTCCTCCATGGCACCTGATCCCACCTCTGATGTTTTGGGGGTGCATGTTTGCTCTGCTCCTGTATTTTTTATGGACTTTTGATCTTATATACTGTTCGTTATCTCCATATATTTCTTTAGAAAATCTGAAATCTCAAAATTTTGTAAATGTCAATATCACCTTGCCCGATGATTTCAAATCAATGATTGTTGACATCATATGTGCTCATTTTTTTTTATTACTATTAACTTCAAAAATTTACCAGCCGTTTCATACATCATTTAAAATATTCCCAAGTTAATGTGATATGCAATAGGCTGTGATGTATACAAAGATCGAAAACGCGGAAAGCTTTTGAGTCCTTCATATTAATCATAAGGTAGAAGGAGAATTCGTAACCAAATTTAAGATAAAGGCCAAACAATGAGTTTAAACGCTTAAGCCAAAATATATGTCAAACGTGCTATGAAAGTTATTTTATGACATATGAATTTTTGACAAAAAAATCTGAATCTACTTGTATACCCCCAAGTGGTCATTTTTTTTTATTTTGGTCAACAAAATTATTAAATTATTCTTTAGAATAGGGATTTGGTGTTTATTGGATATCTCCTCGGATTTTTTTTTTGGATGAATAGATCAGAAGTTCTTTTTTTTAATTACCTTAAAGGAAACGTATATCTACAGCGTAACAACAAAGTTTTATGATAAACATGATGACTATTACTTTTTTAACTTCATCCTCCTTACTTGTGAAGCAGTTTTCCCTTATCGGGTTATTTGCCTCAGTTGATTTGATGCGCAAAAACATGCCCTATAAATGAATATTTTCGAAAATGAGGCACATTATTGACAAACAAGTTGATGGAACAGGAATATTAGCAATCGCAGGTAAAAAGGTCATTATTTCATAAAATCTATGTTCAGTACAATCATCTTTTCAGAAAATATATTCATAAATTCAAATTTTTTAACAGATTTTTTAAATATTAATTGGTATGCCATTATTTCTTTTAAAGAACTGTCAACGACTTTTTATGGTATATACCGATCATGACAAAGGAGACACAGCGGGTGCTTGAATAAATGTTTCACTTGCAGGATTACTTTTTCAATTCCCCTGAATCACAAACTTATGATATTTTGTACAAATAAATTATATCATAAATTCAATTCTGTATTTATTCACTTAAAGAAAAATAATCATGAGAACAACATCATGTTATCAATTTGCAATGTAAATGATTTATCTAAATGAAAAATGTACATTATTCGAAATAAAGAATTTAATAAAGACCGATAATGAATAATCATATTATCTCATTATAAAAAAAAATAAGATGTTGATTTAAAAAAAAAATTAAGATAACCAATAAAAGTGTTATTACTATTGTACAATCGAGCAATTCATTATGAATAATACGTCAATAAAGTGAAATAGATTTTTTTAAAAAAATAAATAATCGTGATCATCGATAAAAATCAGAGAAAATACATTGATTAAAAATGAAACAATATGCACAAAATAACACAATTTCAATCGATAGCAGATAATTGGTATAAAATATCAAGAAAGTTTCAATACAAAATAATGAATCCGTGAGGTAATGTAGTTTTCTAACCGTGTTAGATACAAATTTAACCATTATAATAAAAGCAAAAACAAAATGTACTCATGTGACATGAATAAAACGAATTGTAAAAGGTATTATATTATTTTCTGTTCTATGTAGATTAAGATTTGATATTTGAGATTGGAAATATTTTTGTCAGTAACAGTCAAGGCAATCAAGGATAGAAACTGAAATATGTGGTAACCAAATTGACCATTTAAAGGAAAATCCCGTTCTAGCTATAATATCAAATTGAATACTATTTTTCATCATACGGCAGCAATAAATTTCTCGCGGGGTACAAGAAAGCATTGGATTGAGATCTTTATTCATAGTAGAATTCCAATTAATTGTTTTATCAGACGTTTTCTTCAAGGTGTATACTCCCTTTTTCATTGTCTTTTATTAATTTGCATTTACTGATAAAAATGTATTTACTAAAAGCCTCAGATGCATGTTAATCATTAAATATCATGTTGCTTACAAAAAACAACTCAATTAAACCTACATACATGAACACTTTTGGGATTGAAACCTGGTCATCAACATGGAAATTCAACACATTAACCATTACACCATCGGAATTCACGCTTCAAAGTTAATAATGAGTAATGAATGATAAAATAATGTTTTGATTAGATTTTGAAACAATTATTTTAAGTAATCTAATACGTCTCTTTATAAACCTTACCTATATCAAGTAAAATTAAATAAAATAGAAAAAAAAATCGATTTTTGAGTTCACTTCTACGAGCGATGAACAAATGTAGTGCCAAAGCTAGTGTATATAACGATTTATAATCCTTGAAAATCTGATATAGATTTTCTTGCCGTTACGGAGATTATAATTTTGAAGTCAGTAATTGGCCTGAAAGCCAGCACCAAAGATAAATTTTAAAATCTTCTTTCAGAATCATCAAATTGATATAACATCTGCCAACGTTGACTTAATTATCATTAAAAATTGCAAGACACTTGGGCTATCGACATGGTGCTAAAACAGTAATTAACACTTGAAACACATATTAATCAATTTAATATCCTACGATCTACATCAGGAGAACCATACTTACATCCACGTCGACGTGGATGTGATAACGCTGAATTATAAACGTTTATGCAGGGATTTCCTCTTTTTGGTTAAAGAAAATTGTGTCATTTTAAATTTATCCGACTAACCGATTATGTTTTTAAGCGAACGCGATCATTACGACAGAGTAATTAGTTGGGCGATTACAATTTCCCAAACCTAGCATTTATTGATTAAAAGGATTGCTCAATTGTCAAGTGCATTCTTAACTTCCTCCCTCATATTATATAACCCAATCGCTACCCTTTCGACATTTCTGTCTGTATTTGCTAAAAGCTTATAATCCTGCAGCATTTTTATTCGATTTTGAAAACCTGGGTTCTTTTCAAATTCTTCAGCTTGTATCATCTGATCAATATGTTGAGTTGTACTGAGAGGGTCTGGTCGCAGTGCAATTTCGTTTAACCTATTTTTACACCTCATAGTTTCCCTCATCATTTTTTGGACCTCTAAATATAGGCTTTCTACATCCTTTTGTAGTTCCTGAAGATATTTTCCGTGAGTTAATTTTTCACCTCTTGCTTTTTCATAGTTCTTTTTCATTTCTTCATATGTTCGCGTTTCAGTCACTGTTTCATATCGGAATCTATATTTTGCATTCTTGTGTTCATCCCATTTGCATTTTTTTTCACATATTCTACAAAACCCATTCGTCATTGCAAAACAGTTTATTTTATTTCCATCATCAGGAATCCCGCATGGATAATGACAAGTGATGTTACAAATTAAACAATTTGTAACATATACACCTTTTTCAAGGTCTTCTTGTATCTGTTTAACTGTTTGAGTTTCATACGTAAAATCTTTATTATCTTTTAAATCATTTTTATGCTTTAAAAAGGTAGAAATTTGGTCACGAAGCTCGTTTAATTTGGTAAGGCCGGCACTAACTTGCGGCTGAATATTTGAAAGGATTGTTTGTAATTTCTCTCGCTCTTCTAACACTTCTTTTGTAAGTGTAAGACTTTTAGCCTGAAATTGATGAAGACCTTTAAAGAAGTTTTCAAAGCTTTTCCATCCCATATCCCATGATGGTTTTGCTACGTTGTCTTTGTTTGAGGCAAATAAACCAGAATTATTAAATTTAAACCATATACGAGCGGGAAGATTGGCTGATTTTAGGCATGCTAATACTGGGGGACTTTGTTCATCTGCAAAAGTTATAAAACTGCAGAAATTATTTTCCATATCTTTTCCAAAAAGTGCCATAATTTGATTAAATATGTAAGTTTGTACAGCAGTTAATCGGGCATCGGGAGATTTTGCAATAAAACAAACAGCATCAAGAAATGCTTTAGCATTAGACGAAAAAAGACTTCGAATTTGGTCTATGATTTTGTTATCTCTTTGTATCCCTCTCGTGTCACCAAAGCCAGGGGTGTCAATGATGTTAAGTGTATATCTTATTTTAGATAGTCTATCTGGAATAACTCTATAAACAGTGACCCATTCTGTCTGTGACAATGCCTGAAAATAAAAAGAAAACGCATTCTTATCTAAAATATTGTTATTAATTCAATAAATTATCTTAAATAAGTTCACTCTCACTCCCCCTCCCCCTTCCACAATGACAATTACACATGCAACCACATACATCCTCAGACACATACATAGCAATACCTGATTATTTGATTTTTGCTCATCCTCTTCCAGCTCTACCACAGTGAACCTAAATTTGTCATGGAATTGAACTCCAAGGATGTAATTGATGATACCATCGACTAATGTACTCTTTCCTGATCCTGTGGCACCAACAAGCATAAGTGTTTTTTCTTCTACAGTATTGCCTTTAGGGTCACCTGTATGTCATAAAAAGTTTAGAAAATTATGAAAACATAAAAGAGCAAGAGCCATCTTATGCATAAAATGGCCCTGTACTTATATCAATTAATTAACTATCACCCTCTTTACATTTTCATATATCAAAATAATGTAGACACTTCGTGCTTTCATGTTCTATAATGAAATTTCGTTTTGAGAATCCAAATATTTGAAAACAGGCTATGAGAAATTGCAATGTCCTTTAAATTTGCAGAAAATATGCGTATTTGACTTCCTTCTGCAAAGAATTAAAATATGAGCACAGCCCATGATCCAAATAGCCCTTTCATTATGTATTGGCATATTTTGGATCAGAGGTTGTGCTCTATAAGAAATCTTGATAAAACGCTTCAACTTTAGGTCATTTGCAAAGGAATTTCCAGGATAAGAAGAAAATGACGCGTTTTATGACGTCATAATGCATTGACTAGATGTGAAATTACGTCAAAATTAATAGATACGTGGTCACCAACAGTCAATGTGATAAATTATGCATTTGCAACCTAAACTGAGCGGTTTTGAATTTTCAGAAATTCTCAGGGCCAAATTAGGCCCAAAGTGGCTCTACCTCTTTCTTTGAATAAAGGTATAAGGCTGCAAAGTAAAGTGGAATTTTCTGTTTTTTAAGTTAAAACTGTTATAACGAACAGTTAAAACCAATCTAAAAAAGATATTCTAATTGAGCTAAACGAAGCATCTTGTTTAAATATATGTGTTGCAGACATTTATCTAGGGGGGAGGAGAGAGAGAGAGAACGTTTAAAACTTGATTTCACAATACACTGTATCCCTGAAGGTCTCTCTCAGTAAGTGCATGTACATGAGTACAAGCATTTTCGATTGTGGATTACACACAAATGACTCTCACTCTCAATTCCTTTGATGATGTTGAAATACAGAGGCAGGCTCCAAATAAAGTGGCCAATATATATGTCTCTACTTAAAAAAAACATGTAATCGTCTATAATTTGTCTTACTAAAACATAGATTATTTCAAATATAATGTTATTATTCTTTTTTCTGTATATTGAGTAAGAATAAAAAAAGGTTTCAAGAGAACTGTGTTCTACTTTGATATACAGGAGGAAAGAAAAAGAAGAATTACTACATTTTTGCGTTGTAATCAAAAGATCCTAGCTTTAATCCCAGACCCCCTTGATAATTGACCATGAATTTTAAGTTGTGAAAAATGCACCTCTTTACATCATAATAATGTATTTAGTTAACATAATAAGTATACAGAAGCAGAAATGGTATTCAAAGAAATAATTCTTTTTTATTATATAATCAATGGAGCCCAATCTTAAGACCAGAACCTCTTCTTCCGAGGTCATGAATTTACAATTGTTTGAAGAAATACTTGTGTTCATCATAACCATGCACATAAATTGCTTGCTACATACAAAAAGTGTAATAAAAAGATTTTTTGAGGAAAAAATGCATTTTAGTTTTTTTAAAGCGTTCACGGTAGCTGAGTTGGTAGAGTGTTATCTGGAGGTTTTGAGTTCTAATCTCAACCACAACTGACCTAAGGCGATAAAAATGGCCAGCATCTCTTCCTTTATCATATGCTTAACACTTTAAAGTGAAGTTTGCGGGTCCTTCGGAGCAGACCTTAAAAACCGAGGTACCCTGTCACTATATAGGAGTTGTTAAGAGAAAGAACCTTCGCTGTTCAATGACAAATGTCAAAATTTGAAGCCATTTGTCTTTATGTGGTGACATATCGATATGAATGAAAAAGTATCGAATGGGACATAAAACAACATAAAACCAATTATCAACTCAATATCTGAACAATACAACATCCTAATACAGGTCCCTGATTTTTTGCCATGATTCTCACAAACCGGTAGAGGGATTTATGTCTATTAATATCATGCCAACAGTGCGACTGTATGATATCCAGGAGTATAGAAGATCGAGTTCTTTAAGGTTTGCATTAAATTTTGACGATTTTGGCCCCATGAAATCTGAGGAGTGAAAGGACACAAAATTCACATGATTCATTCCAATAATTCATTTATGCTTATTTTCAGAATCAGTACAATTGGTTCTACACCCAAGAAAAGAATCTGAAAATATGTGCATTGACAAAAAAAGCGATTAGTCATATAAGAAAATTAGGTGACTTATAAATCCAATATTCTATGTGTAACATATATGCATACAGAAATGATGATCAGAATGCATGTCAATGTCTTTTTAATAGAAATGAAGTTTAAATTATTATAAGATCCTCTTATTGAAAAAAGTATTTATGCTTACCAATGATAAGTTCCCTGGTTTTATCTTTTTCGTTTCTAGCCTTCATGTTTTCTATTGGAGGTAATTTGAAGATAGCTGGATTACCATCCTTTTGTTTGGAAGAAAATCGAACATATTTAGCAGCAGGTGATTGGGTTGTGTTCATGATGCTTGATTCACTCTGAATTTTGTTTTCATTGTCTTTTACGCAGAGAACTTTGAATTCGTATGGTGTATCTGACTGCAGTCCAGTGATAGTTGCTCTGTTTGATTTCCATTGCACAGGAAAATCCTTCCATTTGTCATCGATTTTCCTTTTAAACGATATAGTATAGTAGTCTACCCCTTGTGATGGTTCTTCCCATCGAATTTCTATTGTGTCAAAACTTGCAAGAGAGAGAACTGGTTTTCCACATGTCTGAAAGTGACAAATACCAAATGTATCATTAACAGGACTATTAAAAGAGAGTATACGTATTTGAACATCAATAAAATAAAATCATGTGTACTGAAGAATCTAGAATCTATTTCTAAATAACTTCTATTTGAATATTAAACTATCTTTCTTCACACGAAAAAAAATTCATTGGTAGCTCATTTGATTTATTCTGGCAGGATATTCAATTTCATATTTTTATTTGAATGTAACAGGAGAGAGATTGTAGACATCTTAATTTTAAATATCATTCAGAATTATCTATTTAAAGTGGATCTGGGTGGGTTTAAATAAAAAAGAGTGAAATATACGTATCATGAAATAACCTCACGCAAAGTATTCTAATGAATTTGGAATAATTGTAAATTGAACTTTTGCTTATCATAATGAAATAAAACTTGGTTATAGCGAAGTCTTGGGGACCTGTGAATTTAATTCGCTATATCCATTCGCTATATCCATATAACAAAGTCTTATAACCATATATAGCAAACTTGCTATATGCATATTTTTCTCCAAGTATTATTACCAAAATGTTTAGGAATAAAAAATTACAAAACATACAGTACCGACCGAACACAACCTAACACCAGAGCGAACCCGAAGCGGACCCCGGGTTCGCTTCGCTGGTCGCTCGGGGTCCGATTCTGGTTCGCTTTCAGAAATTTTGGGACCTCTCTGGGTGTGCTTTGGTTGCGCTCCGGGTTTGCCCCTGTTCGCTCGGTGTCAGCTCTGGGTCCGCTTGAGCAAACCCAAAGTTCGCTTTCTGGGACCGCTTTACGCACTGATGCGTGAAGCGGACCCGCTTTAATTTCGCCGCCAGTAAGCCCCGCCCCTTGTTAATTCCAATTCAGTAATAACATTGCGGAATCGTTCATTGTCGTTCATTGGCGGCGATCGATACATGTACACTATACATGTATACAGTGACATGGGGAACATTGATAAAATTTTCAAAATTCAATTGTACGTTCGATGTAGATTTTTAATTATTTTCTTGATTTGTCTTCCCTCGGAATTCCGACTCCGAGAAATTCAAAATTATTTAACAGCGGCCTATTGGGCATTTGTTTTCTTCATTTAAATAACATAAAAACAAAAAAAAGAACATAGTAGTAGGTATCGAATGGTGTACAAGTGAAACTGACAAAAGCACCTTAACAAATTACATTTTAAATTCATGCGTTATATAGTTATAATTACATTTGCAAATGTTTTCTTTATATAACACTACTGAAAGCAAGCGTTTTTATAACTGCATAAATACAGGTACGCGGTCAAGAGGTCATAGATGTGCGTTTGGATAAACGTTCGACGTAATCCCTGTGTGACATCATAAAGGGTCGACGCGCGTTTAGTGGAATACATACATGCCCTTGGGTTTGAAAAATAACGCATTTCGCACATTCAAAGTAATAATCAATGGGATTTGATCACGTGACCAACCCGTTTTACATCTCAATAAAACTCATAAAATGGTACCTTATTTCTTAAATAAATTATATTTTTATAATAATTATATAATTCTTTATGTTTTGCTAAATCGTAGTTTAATTATTTGACAAACACAAAAATAAGGATATGGAAATAACGAACAGTATTCAATCTCAACGTCCATTAAACAAATATACAAAACAAGAGCAGAGCAAACACGGACCTCCGAAACATCAGAGGTGGGATCAGGTGCCATGGAGGAGTGAGCATCCCCTGCTGACCGGTCACACCCGCCGTGTGCTCATTGTCATAATCAGGAAATAACGGAAAAAAATCCGTAGTCAATTCAGTGTATAAATAATGGACTAACAATTGGTATGAAAAACGTCAGTCAGCATTTCATTCAATGATAAATTGTATTTGCTGACAAGGTCATTGTATCGACCATAGAATTTACGAAATGATGACTTTAAACGAGACTGTTGATATTCTTGTTTCATCAACTTGCTTGTCAATGATTTACCTCGTTTAAGAAATTGTTCATACGTAGAGCATGCTCTTGCGTATCGAATCAACTGAGATATAAATACTCCGTATGCAGGTGATGAAGGTATATTGCTGCATAAGTAAGGGAAGTTGACGATAGAAAAGTTAAAGTCATCACGTTTATCATATAGCTTGGTTGTTAGATTACCATTTGTGTCTTTTTCAAGTAAAATATCCAAATATGAAGCAGATGTGTTGGACTCTGTGGTATCTTTTATCTCAAGCTCACCAGGATATATCGTGTCGACGTAGGAATGGAAATTATCATTATTAATTGACAATACGTCGTCGATATATCTAAATGTCGAGTTGAAGGCCACAGCAAGTGTTTTTTTCTTTTCACGCAAAAGATTTTGCATAAATTCTGCTTCATATGAATATAAAAATAAGTCTGCTAATAACGGAGCGCAATTTGTACCCATGGGAATTCCAATAGATTGTGGAATACTTGGTCTCCAAAAACCACATAGATATTGTCAATCAGAAACTCAAGCATCTTCTTGATGTCAACTTCAGAGTACTTATGTGTACAATCAGAATCTGTTTTAACAAAATAATTTTTCAAATGACCAATGACGAGGTAGGTAAACTTACGAGTTCCATTTTTGTTGAAGAAGCAGCTGTCAATGATATCAAAAAGCCTGGATTTTAATTTGTCGTGCGGAATTGTTGTGTATAAAGTTGAAAAGTCGTAAGTTTTTATGCTGTTGATTTTTGTAAAGTCTTGTGATTTCAAATTGTCCAAAAGTTCTTTAGAATTTTTAAGTATCCACATCTGATTTACACCACTTCTTGAATATATAGTTGTACAGTACTCTTGAAGTTTTTCCTTCACTACTGTCAATATTTTAGTGAGAAGTAACGAAAGAGGCTTGGTTGAACATTTACTGGAACCTGCAATGTATCTTTGTTTGTAAGGATTCTTATGAAGTTTCGGAATCCAATATATATAAGGTAGTTCAAATTCATTTTGGCTCTGTGGAATATTAAAAGTATTCAAAACTGACAGGTGATTTTGAAGAATTTCTTCCTTAGAAAGAGTAGTATATCTATAAGTAGGATTACCACTCGTAGAATTAAATCCAAGTTCTTCTAAAATGCAATTAATATAATGAGCCTTACAAACAAAGACAATGTTGTTACCTGCTTTGTCGGCAGGACCCAGTACGTACTGATCGTGTAATCTATCTAATTCTTTTTTCACTTCTGGTTTATTGAACACAGAAGGATAGATGGTTTTCATTTTGCCCCTCAATCTTTTAATACGTGACTTTAACATGGATCTGATACATTTAATCCATTCTGACAAAGTGTCAATGTCTTCTTTTTCATATCTAGCCCATCGTCTGGCGTAATTTTCAACAGAATCCATAATATTTATGAAATTCTGACGCCAGTTGAAGGATCGGGGTTCCCTATATTTAGGACCTTTTAAAATAAGTGATCTAAGGTCCTCATTACGAACTATATTTACGTCACCTGTAATAACGTGTCCAGCAGGACTATAGTTATAGGGCGAAGAAGAACATGAACACGAAAGGGGATTATGTGATGATATCTACATGTATGAATTAACCTATTGTTCACGTGTAATATCTAAATTTAATTTTAACGTAGAACCAATGTCGTATGACATCATAACTAGAGCCTGTGCTAGATCCATTATGACGTCATAATTGATCCATGTCTCTTTTTCCCGTACTTTATAGCTTCAATAGATATGGTAGAAAATATGTTCACAGAATTCAATTTAAAATTATGCCGAAATAATCTTAATTCAATTTTTTGTTATAATACTCAATGAAATATCTTTCTTGAATTAGAGAAACCTGTAGGCACCTTTCAATTAATAGATCTTGACCTAAATTAAGCTAAGAAATCCAAGACCATCTTGTGTAATGAAATAACAATGTATACAACTTACTGTAATAATGTAAATGGTATGTACATATAACTATTTCGAAGGAATGCAAAATCCTAAAAAAAATTCTTCAGTTGCAAACTTCATAGTTGTAATATGTTGAGGAAATGTGTCTAAATCAAAGATGTACATGTTTAGATCGTGTGATCGTGTGTACATTTTGCGATATCTATCATGAAATGATATGCATTCCTGTTCATAAATATTTGTTACTTATTCATATTCTCGGAGTTTGATTACGACTGATTACAAATTTGCATTTTTTCTGTTATGTATGATCTTTTTAAATTAAAAGTACAATTATTGATAAACATTTTTAATCTAAAAGTAACCCCAAACAGCCATTTAATGATTAAATCCCGTGTAAGTGCAGAAAGGTAAAAAATATTAGGATCGGTAAATTACCTATCTCTCAATAGTTAAAGGGGAAAGGTATATATTTTAGTCATTTTTGTAATCATTTGGAAAAGGCCTTTATCATATTAAAAATTTAAAACATTGTGACAAAGACTTCTGAAAAAAATATTTTCAAATGTAGGGTGGAAAATTGACTGAAAATAAATAGAGTTCATTTGCTTATATTTTTTGAAAAGTGGACTTATCTTTTATGTCAATTGAATAAAAAAGAATTTATTCTCGGGAAATATAGTTTGAAACTGTTCAATTAATAAACAATAAAAACAACGATGTTTAAAGAAGTAATTTTTTGATTTTTTTGTCTTCTCTGTATGACATGTACCCCTGAAAATGACTGAAATTGTTTGTAGCAATATGTAATTATCCTTCCATGTTGCACTACATTAAATAACGAGGAAACATATCATGTGCTTTTGACTGATTGAAAAGCGGGTGCTAATTTATCATTATGAAAAGTTTGAAAATCTTGTGACAAAGACTTCGACGACATAGGTTCTACCTTAAGTAGTTACACACTAACAGTTCCTCATAAATATTTACAAGACATTTTAAAAAAATATACATGTAATTGAGAATTAGATAGATTACACGATCAGTACGTACTGGTTCCTGCCGACAAAGCAGGTAACAACATTGTCTTCGTTTGTAAGGCTCATTATATTAATTGCATTTTAGAAGAACTTGGATTTAATTCTACGAGTGGTAATCCTACTTATACATATACTACTCTTTCTAAGGAAGAAATTCTTCAAAATCACCTGTCAGTTTTGAATACTTTTAATATTCCACAGAGCCAAAATGAATTTGAACTACCTCATATATATTGAATTCCGAAACTTCATAAGAATCCTTACAAACAAAGATACATTGCAGGTTCCAGTAAATGTTCAACCAAGCCTCTTTCGTTACTTCTCACTAAAATATTGACAGTAGTGAAGGAAAAACTTCAAGAGTACTGTACAACTATATATTCAAGAAGTGGTGTAAATCAGATGTGGATACTTAAAAATTCTAAAGAACTTTTGGACAATTTGAAATCACAAGACTTTACAAAAATCAACAGCATTAAAACTTACGACTTTTCAACTTTATACACAACAATTCCGCACGACAAATTAAAATCCAGGCTTTTTGATATCATTGACAGCTGCTTCTTCAACAAAAATGGAACTCGTAAGTTTACTTACCTCGTCATTGGTCATTTGAAAAATTATTTTGTTAAAACAAATTCTGATTGTACACATAAGTACTCTGAAGTTGACATCAAGAAGATGCTTGAGTTTCTGATTGACAATATCTATGTGGTTTTTGGAGACCAGGTTTTCCAACAATCTATTGGAATTCCCATGGGTACAAATTGCGCTCCGTTATTAGCAGACTTATTTTTATATTCATATGAAGCAGAATTTATGCAAAATCTTTTGCGTGAAAAGAAAAAAACACTTGCTGTGGCCTTCAACTCGACATTTAGATATATCGACGACGTATCGTCAATTAATAATGATAATTTCCTTTCCTACGTCGACACGATATATCCTGGTGAGCTTGAGATAAAAGATACCACAGAGTCCAACACATCTGCTTCATACTTGGATATTTTACTTGAAAAAGACACAAATGGTAATCCAACAACCAAGCTATATGATAAACGTGATGACTTTAACTTTTCTATCGTCAACTTCCCTTACTTATGCAGCAATATACCTTCATCACCTGCATACGGAGTATTTATATCTCAGTTGATTCGATACGCAAGAGCATGCTCTACGTATGAACAATTTCTTAAACGAGGTAAATTATTGACAAGCAAGTTGATGAAACAAGAATATCAACAGTCTCGTTTAAAGTCATCATTTCGTAAATTCTATGGTCGATACAATGACCTTGTCAGCAAATACAATTTATCATTGAATGAAATGCTGACTGACGTTTTTCATACCAATTGTTAGTCCATTATTTATACACTGAATTGACTACGGATTTTTTCCGTTATTTCCTGATTATGACAATGAGCACACGGCGGGTGTGACCGGTCAGCAGGGGATGCTCACTCCTCCATGGCACCTGATCCCACCTCTGATGTTTCGGAGGTCCGTGTTTGCTCTGCTCTTGTTTTGTATATTTGTTTAATGGACGTTGAGATTGAATACTGTTCGTTATTTCCATATCCTTATGTATAAGATCTTTATTACACTCAGAATTATGGAGCGAGTATGTTGTTAATCAGAATAAAAAAAATGAAAAAATAATAGTTCTCCCGAAAAGAATATATCAATTTCCCCCCTACTTCACATCCAAACATTAATGAAATTGAAAATCATTTTAAATATACATCTATCTAAATATTTAGATATAAATAAATACAGGTTAAATCAACACCAAATAAGAGATCGTACAAATGTAACTGTAAACTCCCCTGATTAAACTGGATTTAAATAATTATATAATATATAAGCCTGATGGGGGTTTTTTTTTGTTAAATTTCTATGTGTCTTCATCCAAATTCTGTACTCAAATTGTATTCTATACGCCTGAAGCATCTATTTTTTAAATTTCAAATAATATACAGGGCGATGTACATGCACATTAATTTTTTCATGCCCAATTATTAATAATTCTGATGTGAATTTTGAATAATTTGAAGGAACATGTAAATTGAGACAATGGAAATAAAATAATTAAATAATTGGCAAGAACATGTATGCTCGACGTATTCTTGTATTGTATCTTGACAGAATGAAATTATACAATTTGCCAAAGACGTTTCTTCTCCTGTTTTAGTGTAAAAATTGAATTGCCAATTATAATCTTCTTTTCTTTACGCATTGAGTGGATATATTTTTCCAATTTACATCAAAATTTAATCAACAGATTTTAAATGATCATATCTAAAAAAAAAATTAAAGAAAATAAATACGTAAATATTCATATAACATTCTACATGGAAAATTAAAATATCTAATTTATTTATATTTTTTTAAAAATATAACACATAGCCCGAAGAATAAAAATATTACTTTACACGCTTTTCTTGTTTGTAAAATGTTTTGAATTATGTCAAATAACATCAACATTCTATCTTTTATCCCAATGGACAGATCAATATGCTATGTTATTTTGATTGGTCGACTTGCTGATTGGTTTATCGGTAATCCTGACTGACAGCTCTGTAAAAAAAAATACCGAACGCGCATTCGCTTTCTGGGTCCGCTACTGAATTTTGAGTTTGCTCTTGGTTCGCTTCAGGTTCGCTCTGGGTCTGCTACGGGATTGCTCGGGTACATCTAACAACTTCCTTACCTGGGAGCGAACTCAAGATAGTCAGTCCGACGCTAGTATTGTTATTTATATAAACTTAGTTTCAAATATTTTACACAGCATATTAAAAATAAATAATTCTTTTAATATAGTTTCTTGCAAGCCCCCTTCCTTCACTTAAATACTATTTTCTGAAACTATCTACAGATTATGCCTAAAGCACGGAACATTCAAAATAAAATGCACAAGATGACGTCAAAATAAAATAGACGAATGTAAGAGGTGATGAAACATAGGGAATGGAGAAAATACTGCCGTTTTCATACAGTAACAACAGTCAGTAAAATAATAACAATAGTATTGTGTTTTGCTCGTGCACCATGTGTCAAACACTGACTACTATTTAGGTATGGTGCACGCAAAACACAACACTATTTTAAAATAGTAATAGTAATTATATGATATAATATAATCCCGCTATGTGCTAATTGTCTCTATCGAGCGAACAGAAAAAGCCGTGGACAATACAGCGGTTAAATAATGGTCTAACAATTACAATGAAAGTCTGCACTCAACTTCATTATTCATTTATTTGCTTGCAAGGTCATTGTATCAACCACAGAACTTGCAAATGATGATGTTAAATGAGACGTTGAAATCCTTGTTTTCTCCTCGTTTTGTCAATAACCTACATGAACCTTACTTTAAAATTGTTTGTTCATGCAGTATGCTCTTGCAAATGGAATCAACTTGAACGTGACCTCACATGAAAGTAAGGCAGGATATATAGCTGCATAAATTAGGGAGGTTTACTATTTAAGGCTAAAAGCCATCGTTTTGTTGATAGCACATCATTTTTCGTAAAATATCTAAATATATAAATACAGATATGTAAGACTCTGTGGTATTTTTAAATATCAGGTTAACAGGCTATCGAGTCGACATATGGAAGTATCAATTGTTAATTGACAATCGATATATCCATATATCGGGTTGAAGGTTACAGGTGTCTTTTTCGTCTCATGTTTTTTTTTATAAACTCTCTTTAAATGAATAAAAAAATAGGTCCGCCAATAACGGGGCGCAATGAGTATCAATGAGAATCCCAATTGATTGTTGGAAGACTTTATCCCTAAAACTACATAGATATTGTCAATCAGAAACTTAAGCATCTTTTAGTATCTTCTTCGGAGTACTTGTGTGTACAATCATAGCATTTCCAACAGTATAATTTAAAAAAAAATACCCGATAGCGAATTAGCAAGTTCCATTTTTATCGAAAAAACTTATATCTATGAATTTCAAAGTTGCAATTTGATTTATCCTGGAATATTGTTTTAAAATTCCTGAAAATAGATACATTTTTACGTTTTTGATTTTGATGAAACCTTGTGATTTCAAATTTGCTCAAGGTTCCATGGAGTTCTTAAGTATCCCAATCGAACAACTTAAAAAAAAAAGTATACATTGGAATCATTCTAATATTCGAATCATTCTGAGGATTTTAATGTCATAGATACATTTATTTGAAAAGCGTTTTTATCATTTTTTAAACAACTCACCATACTAGGAGTGTCCATCTTTGGTTCTAACAAGGATGACCTTGACCTCCTTAGTCGCCCTCCAAGCCTTAATAAAAAAAACAAAAAAGTTCAAAAGAAGTTAATTATTAAACGAATTTATCCTATTTATGTACATATATACATAAGGATCAAGTAATGCTTTTTCTATTTTCAAGAGTCATACTTTTTTTGCTGAAGTATAAAAATGTACTCATTTACACATGTTATATATTTGTTAGAAAGTTAAATGTAAACAAGATTTGACGGCTTACTTCTTTTTGTCCTTTTTGTTCCGTTTCTTCTCTTTAGATGACGATTCTCTCTCATCGCACACTGGCTGTTGCGATCTAAATATATAGCACAAAAATATTTTGTGTATGCCTAAAAAAAGATATCAAAAAAAAAGAAAATCTAAATGTTCAAGGACTTAATTTTATCTTATTCAGTAATATACTTTGGTCTGTCTAAAACATTCAATATCAAATTCTATTGAAGTCTGTAAAACGAATTCTCACTACATGTAGCTAATGTGATTATGAATATGAATGTTTACTCAAATATAATCAACTTGAAAATGAATGCCAACAGTTAGCATGTTTAAACAAATATTGTGCTAAAATGTCCATCATTTATGATGGGAAGTTACTGTGAAAATTGCAATCATTTTTCTACGGACAGTCGAAGGAATAGACAGAAGAATTAAATTCCACCATATGGCATGTCTAAACAAATTATGGGCTAAAGTTTCAATCAACAGCGTAGAGACCACTAGATGCGGGGAAAAGTGCGACCAAAATTTGTTACAGACAGACGCACGGATGAACAGTAATTTAACATTGGATTTGAACAAAAATGAATCCCAACATATACGTCTAACATGTTTAATCAAGATTCCAAGACTGTTAAAAATGATGTACAATTTCAACTCACCCTGTTGTGTAGTCATGCTTCGGGTGGTTTTGTGCAATTGATTCAGGTTCTGGATGGCGTTGATCTATCTTGTCAACAGGAAACCACAAATTATTCTCTCGAACATGCGTGAATGAAGGCACCATTGGCTGGCTTAAATGCAATGCAAGACCCTTAACGTCATCAAATAAAACATGCTCATTTGCTGTGTGCATAAGGTGTTGATTTGCACAAGGTTCACACATAAATTTTTCACATTGCAAACAACTTTTTTGAGCACTAATAGATTTGCATAATGCACAAAGCTCTTCGCGTTCTTTTCTTTGAAAAAGTGAAAAATCATACTTGATCATGTGTGTACGGAATTTACTTTGTTTTGTGTGTTTTGCACCACACTGATTACAAAGTGGTTCAGGTTCTGAACAGTCTGAACAAAAACAATTAGCTCTTTTCTTTATTCCTTGATAGTGGCAATGTTCGCAATAAAGTTTTTCTGAATTTTGAAATTGCTGCATATCATTGCAAATATCATGGTCCCTGAACTCCTTTTGCAGTACGTGGTCTTCCCAACATTGATTACAAAGAGGCTCCTTTGTGTCACATGTTAAGCAAAAGGCAACTGCAACTTCTACCTTGTTGCTATAGGAACATAGACTACATAGAGTGCATTGTTCCGCAATATAAGAATGCAGTTCGCCTATGTTATAGCATATATCGTGCTTCTTTGAAAATCGTTGTTTTTTATGGTGATATGAGCAGGATTCACAGAATGGTTCTGGTACTTGGCATGATTTACAAAAGGATGTCGCCGGATTATACTCATTATTACCAGCACACAGTGAGCAATTTTCTTTTCTCCCTATACTTGTCTGTACATTCTAAAGAAATAAAATGCATTTTTCCTAAAGGTTAAAACTGGATATTCGAAACAAAAAGAACAATCATTTGAGTGTAAATTAGCACTGTAAAGGAACCTTAGAACTTTAAATTAAATAAAATGATACATGAAGCTAAATTGTCACAAACAAGATAATGGGGATGCCTGGGCATCAAAATATAATGTCAAGTAATATTTACTAAACGTTAATGATGCCGAGTGTAATTATTTTTGCCATAGGGATTTTGATATTTTTTTATAATTATTTTTTACTGTTGTTATTATTGTTTTAAGATTAAAAAATCGAATGTTTACCGCCTGATTTTTAAGCGGGCCCTTCTCAATAGTTGTGAAATTTTACTATTGGACTCTATGGGACTTTCTTGAACTAGCGCCAAATTATCCTTTTTTGTATTTATGCCCTAGAGATTTTTTTTTCAGTCAAGTATATGAAAAGTATTTTAAAAAACGCACCACATTCGCATCACAGTTAAGGTTACGGTAAAGAGGCGGGGCCTAATTTATACGGAAATGTTTACTATGACGTCACACAAAAAAGGTCTTCTAAAACTACATGAAATAGTAAAGTTTATGAATTCTACAGCTATCCAGCATTTTGAAAAAGCAAATAATTTCATTTTGTGGTATTTTGAAGATCTTACATCTTACTGTAACCTTTACTGCGCTACGTATTTGGCTATCGATGAAATGCAAATATAAGCACGTTACCGTTTATTGACAGTTCAAAGTAAAGATTGGTAACATATACGGATACATTATTTGATTACAAAAAGATATACTAGTGATTATACATTGAGATTTAGTGATTAACTTACAGAAGACTTTTTCGAACTGGCATCCGATTGCAATGAAAAAGAGGATCCACGAAAACTGTAGTCGCTTGTATCTGAGTCGGAACTGAAAGCAGAGTAAAACTTCATGAAAGATTAACCTATTAAAAACCAGGACATCAAGCAATATGTGTACAAATTAAAACGATCGGCCATTCTAAGAGTATGTAAGTCTGAAAGACATATATTTTTAAATAATTCATTGTTTTGACATGCTATTTTGATACATCAAATTATATCTTTGGAACAGGGAATTTTAATTACTCAAGAATTTCAACAAAATTTTCAGTACTATAATGCTGCTTCCTTAAAATTTTCATAGTTAAGAAACATTGAAATAAAATTATATATTTAGTCTTATTCATGTTATTCTTGTCTACACCATTTTAAGCAAGCTACCCATTGTAGTAAAAAAAATTATACCAAATGAAGTAACCTTCTCGAACAATAAGAGGTCTTTCAAATGACCTTGATCTTTGACCTTGAAAACCCAAATGCAATTACTATCAAGTCTCTATGATAAATCTAAAGTTCTTGTATTTATTCACAAACAATAACATTCAGGGGGGATGATCTAACAAAAGGACCAGGGGCCTCATCGCTCACCTGCGAAAATTGGCTTGGCAAAAGCATAAATCAGATCCGAACTAAAAGGTTTACTGAAGGGGAGGGGGGCTTGAATTTTAATACTACTTATTTTTCTATGTAAAACTTGGATCCACCAATGGGGCCCCACCCTATCCCCGGGGGTTATGAATTGATTGAACAAAGTAGAATAAACACTACATAAGGATGATACCACATACATATCACTTATCATGGCTTTGAAGTAATTGAGACGATGATTTTAAAAAATTTTCACTATCTTGTCCTATGTAAAACTTTAATCAGCAATTCCCCCAATGGGTCATGATTTGAATAAACTTTTATCCTTACTACCTGAGGATGATTTCACATGATTTAAATTTCCAAGTATAGTGATTCTTGAGAAATTTTTTTTTTAAAGATTTTACTATATATTCCTATGTAAATAATTCATCGGCCATTGTGGCCCCACCCTACCCTCGGGGGTCATGATTTGAATAAACTTGAATCTTCACTACAGGAGGATGATTCCACATGAGTTTCATCTTTCCTGGCCCAGAGGCTCTTGAGGAGAAAGGTTTTAAAGAGTTTTCCTATATATTCCTATGTAAAACTTTGATCGGCGATTGTGGCCCCACTCTACCCCCTGGGGTCATGATTTGAACAAATTCGAATCTTCACTAAATAAGGATGATTCCACATCAGTTTCATCTTTTCTGGCCCAGTGGTTCTTGAGAAGAAGTTTTTAAAGATTTTACCTATATACTCCTATGTAAAATTGTGATCGGCCTTGTTGCCCTACCCTTACACCGGGGGTCTTGATTTGAACAAACTTGAATCTTCACTGCCTGAGGATGCTTCCATATGAGTTTCATCTTTCTTTGCCCAGTGGTTCTTGAAAAGAAGATTTTTTTTAAATGCCATTAATTCTTCACTCATTTATAATTATCTCCCCTTGGAAGAGGGCTTGACCCTTCATATGTACAAATTTGAATCCCCTTTACCTAAGGATACAAGTTTGATTGAAATTGGCCCAGTGGTTCTTGAGCAGAAGATGAAAACGTGAAAAGTTTACACAAACGACAACAACGACGACAACGACAGACGACGGACAAATTTTGATCAGAAAACCTCGCTTGAGCCTTTGGCTCATGTGAGCTAAAAAGCAGTTAATAACTGAATACTTTTAAAATGATAAAGAAGACTCTAAAGATATACCTAATTCTTTGTCCTTTAGCTAAAAGTCATTTGAATTTTGATAAAATTTATGATGAACAAAAACTATTTGGATAAACTTTGTGATAACAAAAAAGAGGAAAAAAAGAAAGAGAACAATTACAACATGTCTATTCATGGAAATAATGAAAGTCTTAATAAAACCTAGTTTTTCTTGATAATATTACGGTAAGTTATTTCACATAAGGAAATTAAAATCGCATAATTGTAGAGGTATAGTTACTGTAAACGCATAAAATAAAGTGCTAGAATACTTAGTACATGTTTATAAGCTACGTGTACCAATAGAAGAACGGGATAGAAATAGTGATCGAAGTATTGTAAACCTAATATCACAAAAAACTTACTCAATATTGTCTGGTCTAAATTCAAACAAATTTGTGTTCATTGTGTGATTCCGAAAATCTTTTGTTGCGGTATGTCTGCTTGAACAATTTAAACACAAAACATCAGGTTCCTTACAATCATTACAAAATGCGTAACCTGGAATAACCTCATTAACACTTTTACAAAGATAACACGTGAATTCCTCTTTGATGTATTCGGTGAGGCTTGGAACCCTGTGATCTTTAGTAGATCCAGCTGCCTTGTGACGAAACCCACAACCGTTGCATAAAAGTATGTCATCGTCAATGCAAACCATTGTTGCAGGGACTTTTTCATTTACGTATTCACATAAAGAACAGAGGTAATTGTTTGGTTGTTTCTTATATAGAATTTCCTGAAAATAAAAATTATTGGTAGGTAATACAATGTCATGTAATATGCTGTGAATGTTATTTATCTTCTATAGTCAATAAAATATCTAAACAATAAGAAAAAATCTGTGGATCTAAGATTAATGGAAAGTTTTGTGTTTTGGAAAAATCATTGATCATTTGTACGTTGTTGAACGTCCCTCTCGAGATTTTTCACTCTTATGGAGACACAACCACTTCCCAGTGGAAAGCTACAAATTTTGTCCTATACTCGGCACTCAGGGCCATTGAGCAGGGAGGATTCTTATTCGTGCTAGCATCTACTGCGACACGAGATCTCGGTTTTAAGGTCTCATCCGAAGGACGGACCTCCACGTACCAAGTGGGATTCGAACCCGCAACGTCCAATTCAACTCCTTAATTCGAGACTCTAGAACAACGCTCTAACCACTGCGCCATGTGGGCTTTTTGAAAAACAATAAGAGATACAATCAATAGCAAGGTTCATAAATCAACTGTTCACTCATATAAAATGTTGATTGAAGAAATGTGTTTTAAAAGTTAAAATACAAATATCTATAGCATAGTATGCAGGGCAAATTTGGAAAAAAAATTACCACAACTTCGTAAATATAGGAATTTATGTCATTAAGAGTATCAAAGAACCTGAATTAACATACTGATAGGTATATTAACCTAAGGACAGATGATGCAAACAAATTTTATCTTTGACTTGATATCGTCTCAAAGGCTTGGAACATTTAATAATTCTTTGAATTTTTTTTATTCTTGGTCTTGACATAGTTTTGAAAAATATTTGCTAAAACTTCAATAAAATAACAAATGTGGACGAATTACACTCAGTAAAGGGTTCCAAATGAAAACAAATTTCAAAATGTGTTACCTTTACATTGATTAATGTTCATGTTGAAAAGTTTCGGATCTATTAAGATTTTGTCATTCAAAACGGCCATGTGTAAAATGTTAACGATATTCAGTTGAGGAAGTTTCAGCTCCAGAACGACAGAAAAAGTCAAATTTCCGTTACCTGACGACTAAATTTGTTATATTAACTACCACTGAATTTCCCCCCGTTTTTCTTAAGAAAAACATCAGTCAGTAAACGTCATTAAGCATACCACCTCTAAAGATGAATTAAGCTGAGGCTACTCAGTCAATAAAACTTACAATGCCGTGCATTTTATTTATTTCAACACAACAATATTTCACCAAATTAATCCAACTTTGTATGTTACTTTATAATGACATAAATATAAACACTACCTTTTCTTTCTTTCATTGTTACTCTGTGAATTAAAATTGCATATTTTGCAGAAAAAATACATAGCCCCCGTCTTCAACAATTACACTATCAATTCCAATACATTTAAACAAAACCAAATAATTAAACATGGGTTTCATCAACGGAAAAAAGGTGTTGCAAAATTTTCAGCTGTACGATATTTTAGGAAAACCTAGTGATTTCAGACACTGTTGACCTTTAGACTTTTAATTAATTGCAAAAATCTTTAAATTGCTTCTATCATGCATATGCAAGTTTTTTTTATTACAAAACCAACTGTATATCACTCAATTTTACTGTTAATATATGCAATCACACGATGGTGCGATCTGTCTTTCATCATTTTCCGAATTACCGCACTAAAAAATAGGGCAAACTTCTTTTGTTGTGTGAACCATTGAAAATTTGGAAATACATTTCCAAAAATTCATCATTTAAAAGATAAAGATTTCAGAAGGAAAAAAAATTCAATGCCATTGCCATGCATCGCAATCCTAAAATTATGAAGAAGGAGGAGTGAAAATATTTCTTAGCTCATCTTGATAGATATATATAGTTTCAGCAAGATTGTCAAAAATTTATTTTGTATGCATTTGATAAACAAAGCATGGGTTTTGTCTATTAATACCTAAAGTTTGGCTGAGAATTCTACGTTCGAGGAAAATTTATCTTACCTTTGAATCCTCAGCTGACTTTTCATCGTTAATTTCATCATCTACTTCTCCTTTGCTGTCCATCTGATCTCAGAAAATAATTTTAAAAAATATATATATATAAACGTCTTAAAGATCTTCTAAAAATTAAATTATTTAGAAAATTTAACATTCCATATTTTATTTCTATCTTTTCTGCCTATTTTTATTATTATTATTATCTGTGGTCTGTAGAATTTCAGGCCCGCTTTGCTTTTTTAACTAGATAAAAAAGCAATGATGGGTAAATTAAACTCTTTGCTAAAGAAGTTAGATTTTTTGGTTCGTGCTTTCCGGCTAAATCAAGTTCTGGGCATGACCTTATCATGATGCGGTATCACATTTCATATAGAAAACATAATATTGAAAATTGCAATTTTAATACTTAGCAGCACATGTATCTACAGATTTAATGACTCCAAAAAAAGAAGATTCCTCTAATGCAAATGATTCAAGCTGTTTTATGATATGAAATTTATCAAATGAAAATTGTTTTACTGCCATTTATTTATTTCATAGTTCAATCATTTTATGAAGCAACTTGATTACATTGTCATTTATATTACCTTGGATGATGTTCGTCAGGAGTATATGTATTAGATTTTGTCCTTATTATTTATACTAAAATAAAATTGTGGAATCTGACCGTCCCTTCACCGCATGTTTGCACAATCTGATAAAAATCTGATTAACAAATAATCAAACTTAAAGTCCATTTAAATGAAGACACAAGTATCATTAAAAATAAATCGACTATCATGACTGATAACCTGGATAAATCAATGTCCTTGTCTCCTTGCTTTATGCATTTTTTCAAAAGAAACATTTCTTCGTGATATTGGAGATTCCTTAAATTTTTTTCATCCAATTTATTTTTTATATTCTGTAACCTATTATGACCTTTCGCAACTAAATTTTTGCATAAATGTGTTTTCAAATTCTCTCCTATTACTAGTAATTTTCTGTTTTTTTAACCTTCACAATACTTTTGAAAAACTAAAAGAAAAACATTTCTTGATGCAATATCTATAAATTATAACTTATGTTATTCGGGTTATTATACTTTAATATGTACTTATTAATGTGTAAAAACTCAATTGATAGAGTAATCATGTCCAATAAAATCAATATAGGATCAAATATCTCAATTATCTGGCAAATACACTCTCTTTCTCTCCCTCTCTCTGTATGTCTGTCTGCGTGTGTTTGAGGGAGTCAGGGTGAGAGTGAGTGTGTGTGAACACACCTATTTATGTTAAAACTTTACTGGCAGACCAAGGCAACATAGCAGCTCTTTTTGTTTCCAAAATACATAACAGAAGACATGTTAAGTGTAAAAATCATGTCATTTATTTAAATGACGAAAAATGAAATCCATTTATAAAAAAAAAAACAAATACCAAAGAATTTGGCTGGGAGACATGACAGAATTATGGAGAGCTTGACAAGAAATGCAATTCAATAAATGATTACAAAACAGTAGTCTCCCAGCCATAATATTGTTACAGCATACAGATGTGATAATACGGTAAAATACAACATCAAACCTTATTGGTAACAAAAGTGGTGCATAAAAACGCCATCAACCCAACAGGTCGAAGCACCACTCAATATGTTGCCTTGGTGAAACCTCACGTATGATATAAAATGTTAAATTTGTATTTAAAAAATGGTTGGTATTTAAAGCTAATGAACATCAACAGATTCTTTACTCAAAACGCTCGTGGGCAAAATTCGATCCATACGAAACAAGATGTGTTTGTAAAACACTGATGCCCCCGTATGGCAACATAGGAAAGATTAAGCTTTTCTTAAATGCAAATTTCATTAATTTGTTCCAAAAGTAGGGTATTCACACTGGAAAACAATTGTGAAAGAACAAGGTTCATCTTTGCATTATTTGGCCTTGTGAAATTCTGAAAAACTGAAGTTGCATAGTTTTAGATACCAAGGCATTAAAATATCACTTAGATCTTTGGTGACTGCGATCCTATAAAAATGACGTTATTTGCTGGCAAGTCAATGCATGATGACGTCACAAAATGCGTCAATTTCCTCATATTCAGAAAAAGTCTATTAAAAATAGCCAATTTTTGAGTTATTTTTTATATTTGATATAGAGCGCAACCTCTGATCTAAAATATGCAACTAGTAAATGATAGAACTGTTTTTGGGGATTCATGGACATGTTTTACTTTTTAAATCAGAGGGTGCGCTCATGAATATTATTTTTCTTCACTGAAAGTACTCAATTATACCTGTTTACATCAAATTTCAATAACATTGCCATTTCATTAAGCCAGTTCTCCAATACATGGACTTCGATGAGAATTTTTTTTAATAGGATATGAAAGCATAAAGTCTCTATTTTATTTTAATGCTGCAAATAGAAAATCAAGTGTTGATCAATTAATTGGCATATCTACAGGCCATTTTATGCAGAAAGTGAACCGACTTCTTTGAAAGTAAGCTAATGTTAAAGTTTTTTTTTTTACAAGTACGGAAATCTAAAAGGTCGAGGTCAAAAGTTCTTGCCACATAAAATACTTATGTAGAGTATGAAAGCCCAAGCCCTAACCGTTCAGAAGTCATGGTCAACGTTCATTTTCTTAAAAAGTAGGTCAAACTCCAAGGCCAAGGTCAAAGGATCAAAGTTATTGTTATCAAATGAAAGGTCTTGTCGTAGGGATCAAATATGTAAATCATGAAAGCACTGCCATAGCTCTTAAAAATAATGGTCAAGGTTTGCTTTTTTTAAAGTAGGTCAATCTCAAAGGTCAAGGTCAAAGGGTCAAAATTTTTAGTATCCAATGAAGGGTCTTCTCACAAAGATTACATATATGAAGTATGAAAGCCCTCTCCTTTACCTTTTAAAAGTTATGGCCAAGGTTAAAGTTTTTTCCCAATTACGTTAATCTACAAGGTCAAGGTCAAAAGGTCAAGGCTGTTGGTATCTCGTGAAAGGTCTTTTATCAAACATTGTATATGTGAAGTATGAATGTCCTGGTGTCTACTGTTCAAAAGATATGGCCAAAGTAAAATTTTAAAATTTTCATGTAAAAGTGGGTCAAACTCCAAGGTCAAGGTCAAAAAGTCAAATTTGGTGGTATCCAAAGAAAGGTCTTGTCACAAAGGATACAGATATGAAATATGAAAATCATAGCTCCACTTAATCAAAAGTTATGGGCAAGGTTAAAATTTTTGCGGACAAACAGACAAACAGAGAGACAGACAGACAGATAGACACAACAAAAACTATATACCCCCGAAACTTCGTTTACGGGGGCATAAAAATTGAAGGATTTAAATGCACCTAACATATAAGAGTCTTCTTGCTTGTAAACACTATTGGTATTACTCATATATCATGGCCTTACATAAGAAGGCCAAGACAAAATTCTGAACATGAAGTAACAAATGATGGAAATCAACAACTAAATTACAATGATGGTGAAACTTGACCTAATGTATATAAAATTAAGTAAACAATTCTAAAAGATAACAGGGCATACAGATTGTGAATCATTTAAAACTAACCTTGATACATTTACATAATTGAGAGGCCAAGGAATGAACCAGCCGAAAAACAAGAGAATATATACAATTAGATGGACACATGCTGACAACTTCTATGCCTACTAAGCTTTAAGATGAAAAATATGTACAAAAGTAAACCTGAATGCAAAATCTGAATGCATTGCAAATACATAAAATGTTTAAAACATAGGCACCCAATTCTGATCCAATTTAGAAATATACAGTGTAACCTACCCATTTTAGTTGACAGACTACACCTCAAATAATACAACACTCTTCAAAAAATACAACACTTCTGCTGTAAACCAGGCTAGCTTAGTGGGGTCAGCTGGCATTTCTTTACTAACAATTATGTAAACAACAGGCATACATTGATATGTAAGTGATCAATAAAGTGATGTAATTTTTGTCAACTATATATGTTATATGCTATGCAATATATCCCTATCAAAGACATAAAAAAAACCGCCCAGGAAAAAACCATAGACGAGTAACTATGGAAAACCTGTGTCCGTCGCTATGTAAATAATGTCTCAAAGGAGAATGCTGGACGTGCATTCAATGCAGTGCTAGGTATTAATAACACATAGATGTACATGTACAATAAAAACTAAAACCTAAAAATTACATTATTGTTGTTTATTTTATATATAACAATACTATTGTTTAGGCCTTAAATTATATATGTAAACATATTCATTCAAATATAGATATAAGCAAAACACAAGTGTGTTCTGCGGATCACTGACTTAGAATGCTCCAACACCTCACAAATTACTGCTTTCTCATTGGCCTTCCTTTGGCCATGCCTACCATAAACAGGTATTTCAAATTTAATAAGTTTCTATCATACAATGTTTTTTCCGCTATTCTACCACATACAGGAAAGTTCTGATACGGAATTGGTAACAGGCAGACAAATTCTGACGCTGTTAGAGAATATACAATACAGAAATGGTAAAAGGCAGACAAATTCTGACCCTGTCAGAGTATATACAATACAGAAATGGTAACAGGCAGACAAATTCTAACCCTGTTAGAGAATATATACTGTTAAAAAAAATATAAAATACATAAATGGTAACAGGCAGACAAATTCTGACCCTGTTAGAGTATATACAATAAAGAAATGGTAACGGGCAGACAAATTTTGACCCTGTTAGAGTATATACAATAAAGAAATGGTAACGGGCAGACAAATTCTGACCCTGGTAGAAATATCCAATACTGACATGGTAACAGGCAGACAAATTCCGACCCTGTTAAAAATATACGAAACAGAAATGATAACAGGCAGACATAATTTTGAATCTGCTAAAGTGAAGTCATATTAACTCTGGCTAGACAATAAATGTAGAATGTGGGATGGTGAGTCAGCAGCAGCTTGGGAGTCTGTCAACTGGCATTTTGTAGTCCTGCTGGCACCATATAGAATTACGCAATTTCGGGCAGGGGTTGTTGCCAACAAGGGAGCAGACTGATGCAATTTTCAAAATTCTTTGTCACCT